GAACGAAGAACTCAGCACAGCACTTGTCACACACGTGGGTCTCCTCCCGACGAGGCCGCTTCCCTGTGCTTCCGGCTCCACTCACTTCATCACCGTCCATGGGATGGTTCACTGGGACACCTGCGAAAGGACAGAAAGGGCTGAGAGTGCTGGCCTGAGAGGGTGGATGGAGCACGGGTCAGGGACCCAGCTGCCTGTCACTGTCCCTGTAGCAGCAGAGCATGTAAGGGGAAAAAAGCCACCGAGATTCTGAATGAGCAAACGACGACTTATGTTGTAGGTGGACGTGTGTCTCCTAAACAGCACCAAGTCCCCACCCAAGCCAGTGACTTTATCTGGGTAGGGCACCCGCAAATACGCCTGGTTCAAGTCCTAAACGTGGCATCATCACAAGAGACCGGGAATACTGGGGCAGGAAAGGGAAAAGAAGCCTGTGTATGGAGGGCAACAGGTCCCTCTGCGCCTGTACAAAGAACTAGTCTGGCAGTCGCCTAAACCCATACAATGGACAGAAAGACTTCCGAGTCATCCAGGAAAGGCAACCCTAGGAAACGCATGGAATTTCAAACCCTGTCCTGGCCTCTGTACCTCTGGACTGGCTTGCAGAGACACACAGACCCGAAGCACTGAGGACATCGGATCTTGCTTTGATCACGGCTGCTGCAAAGCAAAGCCACAGGAAATTACTTAGTTTAGTGAGAATCCACTAGCAGGGAGGAGGATAACATTTAAAGGCACCAACCATTATGGTGACACTAAGCTCACTTAAAATACAAACTTGGGAGGCTGAGGCAGGAGGACAGTTGTGAGGTTGAGACTGGCCAGGGCTACGAAGTGAGCTCAAGGCCAGCCTGAACTGCGTAGTCAGACCCCCCCACCCAAAAGAGACAAAAAGAGAAAAAACAGGGGCCGGGCATGGTAGCACACGCCTACAATCCCAGCACTAGCACTGCCAGCGCAAGGCCAACCTGAGACACATAGTGGAACCCCGTCTCAAAATAAAGTCAAACCCCAAACCTAGACATCAATCTAATGCATGATGCAAAAGACCCTCACAATGGAAATTCAAAGCGGGTTTGTGGGTTAGCTCAGTTGTTTAAGTGTTTGCTGGGGCAAGCCCAGTCCAGCGCAGGGGCGTGCAGTCTGATCCCCAGCTCCCCATGCCTACCCTACCAGACCCATTCTTAAAGCAGCCTGAATCAGGAAAACAAAATCTTCACAATGGAAATAAATCCCAGAATGCTGAAGAAACTAGAGACGACAACTTGGACGACTCTTCCATGTTACGTACGAGAAGCTATCTTCAGTGCTATCCCCATTAAAATTCCACAGACATTTTTTTCATGCAACTAAAAGAAACAATGAAAGTTACACAAAAACAAGGAGATCCAAAATAGTTGATGCAATTCAATCATATGCCCAATCTTGTATATTTGTTAATCTGAGCAACAGATTTTATGATAAAAACACATAATATATCCAAAAAAAGTTGATGCAGGGCCGGGAGATAGCTCAGTAGAATAAGCACTTGCCTGGCAAGCACAGGGTCCTGAGTTCAGTCCCCGGTACTGCAAAACAAACCAACCACAAAATA